CATGCCTGAATCAACGCATTAACATCGTATTAATATCGCAGCATAGCATAGTCTTGCATAGCATATCTCTCATAATAATAAAAGTGGGCGCAGTTGTACTGATGCCGTCGTAGGCGTCGGCTCGGGTGGGATGCACGTTGGCGTTGCAGCCCCAGTTGGCGGTGTCGGTCCAATTGACGCCCTGGTACTTGAGCTGCACCGTGTCGAGCGTGTAGTTGGCATCCAGCACTGCGCGCGACATGCCGTATTCGCCCTGGGAACGAATGAAGGATGATTAGTACAAATGATTCAAGTCGACCGTGTTTCTGAAAGAGAAGTGAAGAGAGATGAGGGAAGCGAGTGAGCGTACTTTGACGATGACATCTTCCTTGTTGGCGAAGCAGTCGAACACTCCGCGCTTGAGGCCCAGCTCGATGCCCACGTGATCGGTCGCCCAACAGAATCCCTCAATGCGTGGACCCCAGCCGCCCAGGTCCGTTTTGGGCAGGCACACGATCGACGTGCCCACTGCGTTGAGAAGAGGCACAGCACCGTTAGCTTCGCACGCAAACACGCATACACACGCATGAACGCACATACACACACGAAACACGCAACACACAACGTCTTAATACCTTGCTTGACGCGATCGTTGATGCGACTGGTGAAGATGGTGGACCAATGCACGTTGGACGGCCAGTACGCCGGCAGAAAAGGCCCCTTCACGCTCGAATTCCTGTGGCCACAGACGCGTGAGAACGAAAGAGCGAAACGAAAACGTAGAGCAAAGAACGAAGAACGAAGAACGAAGCGGAGCCGTGTACAGGATGACGTAGCGACGGAATGTGGGGAGGTGGAGCGCTTTCGACCGAAGGGCTTCGCCGACGGCGCCAAAGTCGAAGCAGGTGTTGTCGCGCTTCCACACCTTGACGTGGCGCGGCACGTCGACGGACAGGGTGCGGCCCTGCACGATCAGGAGGTACTCCACCCGGTCCCGCTGGCTCTCTTCGGCCGAGCCCACGCCCGCGCGCAGGAAGAATCGCAGGTTCTCGGCGTATACCGCGTCGCGCTCCCAGTACACGTAGACCACGAGCGTGTAGTCGCTCACCTTCTTCTCCTCTTTCTTTTCCTCTTCATCTTCTTCTTCCATCTCCTCCTTCCCCTTGGTCGCTGGCTGTGGCGTCTTTGCGATGTGATCTATTTCTTTTTCATCTTTTTCATCTTTTCTCGTCGTTGTTTTGGGTACCTCATCTCCAGATGCATCTTTCTCCACTTCTTCACCTTTCTCCTCATCAATTGAACTACTAGGTGGCTCTGTATGCTCCTTGGTGCTGGGAGACACGTGGTCGGTAGGAGTTGGGGGTGTGGGAGCCGGCGGATCGATATCTATGTCGATGGTGGTGGATAGGAGTGCGTCAGGGGCCGAGTCCCAATTGCGAGGCACGGCGGAAGGACCCGCGAAGAACAGGAGAAGGAGCGTCGCCGCAACAACCGCCACCAATCCATAGAGCGGCCGTACCTGCACCATCCCCGCACGCAATCACAAGAACGAAAACGAAAACGTCACATAAAACTTGAAAGAAAAAAGTAAGAAAATTCATTTTCTCCAAGCTTGCACAGGGCGGTGAGCCATTTCACCTTTTACACGGCACCTTCTTCCCGTGGCACGCACACAAAGCAACGAGGGTTACATTGAGCGTTCTGCTGTGTAGCTGGCGTCCAATCATCTCTTTTCGCCCAAGAAGGCGGACTATGCAGTAAGTGCCTGGTTTCCAAACCCAGGAATAGTGTGGCAACCTATCTTTGGCAAAGATCTGGCGTGGCATGGTGTCATGGTCTCCGAGAGCACTCAGCTTGCCCAAGCCCTTAACTTTCTGGCACCGCCACATCACACAAGCCCGCCTGACGCAAAGCCCTGACGCACAGCTCACAACACCAGCCAGCCATAGAAAGGGGAAGGGCTGAGCAACAACAATAATGGGGCCTCACCGGCACATGGCGCTCTTCCCTCTCCTCCTCGTAGTTGGGCAGCTGGTCGCGCTGCTGCAGCCTGGCTCTGGTAAGCTACCCTCCTCCTCCTCCTCATGTGTCTTTGTTCCTCTTTCTTGTCTTCTTCTTCTTCTTTTACTCTTCTTTTACATTTTGTACAAACTGATCGTTGCTGGTACGCTCTCCCCAAAGCAGCGAGCATCTTCAGCAAGGAGCTGTATGGCCAGGGCGACGCAGACGTGAAGCCCCTCTACGAGGCCTGGAGCAACGCTTACCGCGCCACTCGGGACGACGTGACCGTGGTCTACGATGTCCAGGCGGCCGAGCAGGCCCTGGACAACATCCTGTCGGGCCAGAACGACTTCATCAACCTCAACGCCGCGGTCGACTCCAGTGACCCGGACTCAATCGAGCAGTACGGCTCCATGTTCCAGGTGCCCATCGCCGCGCAGGGCCTGGCCTTCACCTACAACCTGCCCACACTGAATGCGTCGACCGACCCACTGCTCGTGCTGGATCTCAAAGCCCTCGCTGATGTACGTCTGGCCCACTGCTCGCGTTACCACGGCCACCCACTTCTATTTTCGCTTTTTTCATCTATTTCTTATTTTTGCTTTTTTCGGATTGGTGTGCTCTGTTTTCCTTTTATGCTAGCACCCTGAAACGCACCTAATTCACTGCTGGGGTACTGTGCGATTAATCCCATCACGATTTCCTTTTATGCGGTTGTCCTGTATTCGGGGGACGACTCAGATCTTCATGGGAAACATCACCGTGTGGTCCGATCCCTACCTGGCTACGCTCAATCCTGAGCTCGCGCTCGCCAACAAGCTGCCTACGCTCAACATCACCATGGCCTTCATCGCCGGCGACGGCCTCGACATATCGGAGCCGCTCAAGCGCGCGCTGTTGCCCTACAACGACGCGCTGGGTCCGGCTATCGACGCCGCCAACGGCGACTTCAGCGGCCTCCCACCGGCGCTCAACGGCCACGCCCACGCCATTGCGGACCAGGCGGAGCGCCTCAACTTTGTGCGGGCGACTGAAGGAGCGCTCACCTACCTGGGCTCGGCCGACGCGTTGCGGGCCAACCTGGTTTGCGCGAGCCTGGTCAACAAGGCCAACAACACCATCGCGCTCTCCACCAAGAGGTTCGCGAAGCGTGTCCCACTTTCCCGTTGGTTGGTGGTTTCTCACCTGGGTTGCTTCCGATCGCAGTGTGGCGGCGGCGGTGGCTGACTTTGCCCAGGAGATCAATGCGGGCACGGTTGTGGACATCCTCGATACGCCGGGCACTGAGTCCTATCCACTGGCTTATATCAGCTTCATCTCCATCCCGAACAACCTCACCTCACCCGACTGCTCGCTCGTGACCGACCTGCTCACCTTCTTCAGCTGGACCCAGACGAACCAGGTTTGTTCATTCATTGGCGTGCCACTTCAACAGCAAACGGCGACTAACTATGATTGTGGTGGTCTGCACACACACACACACACACACACAGAGAGCGTTGGACATTTTGACTGAGCTTCACTACAACTCCATCGTACGTGTTCAACCATGCGTTGCACTGTAGCTTTAGTGCTAAGTTAAGGAATTCTGTTTTTTTGTGGTTTTCTCTTTCCTTTGTAGGGTGACGGGGGCCGAAAGCACCTGATCGACACGCTGGCCGAGGTGGAGTGCAACGGCGAGCAGGCCTTTGAGCTGGCCATCCTGATCGGCGTCGGCGCGCCGCTGGCCGAGTTCGCCATCTGGGCGACCGACTACTCCAACGACG